TTCTCTACAAACTTTCAAAGCAAGCCTAAGGTAATGGGTTTTGAATGTCTGGGTTTGTTTTCTTGGCAAGGTTTACCTGTTGGAATGGTTTTAGTTTGGGCCTCGAAAATAACAGAAGTCTCTGTGGCCTACAAAACAGAAAAGGAAATGGGTCTTCTGGTTTTTTGTGAGAGGAAATGGGCTTTAAAAACGTTCTTTCACTTTTTCAGTTTTAATGATCATAGCTTGGAAGTGACTCGAGTGGTAAGGGTTGATTTTGTGGTTAAATAATGCATAAACTAGTTTAACAATTTAAACATATATAAGTGTAAGTATTTTTCATTACAATAAAACCTGAAATGCTCAGTTTTAGCTCTCTTCAATATTTACAATCTGAACCAGTTTTATCTTAATATTCAAATAAAATCAATATTATCCTTTTTCTGAATCTACTTTTAAAACTTACATCATTTTCTAAATTGGTTTTTATATGAATTCTGTCAAAATTCAAATTAAGGGGATTCATTATCACTTTAAAAACAGCATTGGAATTTATTTAAATAAAATATAATTCGAATTCTTAAATGATTCTCTAACTTTACAAAATTTTGACTAGTGACAAGTGACACAAATATCAATGGAGAGAGCCATGTGCCTTGCAGGTTTCTAGTTCTCAATAAAAAATGCCAAAACCACATAGTAAAAGGAAAAAGAGTCCAGAGGAAAACGCAAAAAGAGAAAAAGAAAATGGGAAGGTGTGAAAGACAGTTCTTGAAATGTGGTCCAGTGGCAACATCCTTATCCATTTATTTCTTGCGTTTTTTAGAACATCATTGATTATTCAGTCACTAGTTGTTGTGTTATGTGGTTTCCCAAAGTAATTAGAAGTTGTCTTATATGTAATTCCGTGAAAGCAGCAAATCTCTTTCTTGAAAGTAAGAGCCTACTTTTATCTGATAGTTGTCTTTGTCTTGTCATGGCATCGACCAAACACTAGGTTCCCTTTATTTAGTACTAATTCACTGCCCCATAATATGATTAGTTTAGTTACATAGGAAACAGGAAAAGGAGTTTCAATGTGTTAATCCATATGATAATCATGGATCCAATGCGTCATACCTACACCCTCCAGCTCATGCTGTCGTCTACTCTTTTTCTATGCTCAATCCATTTTCTCTCAAAATATTCAAAGAAGAATAAGAATTAGTGAAGGATGTCTGTCAAATAATAAATGAATCAAAAAGAAAAATTATGTGCAATTTTCTTTTATAGCGAACAATACTATGTCTTCATTCATTTCATTATAGCATATTAATAGAGTTGTCAGAAACTGTATGATATAGCAATATTGAATTCTTGAACATCGCACTTACATTTAGTGTATATAAATGTTATTTTAGAATAAGGCTCTTGAAACAAATAACATAGTAATAAAGATCTTCATTATAACATCAACTTTTAGTTGACAGGCACGAAATTTTAAAAATAAAGTTTGAATCGTATCGATTAGTACTCATAAATTAAATGGGGTGGTTTAAGTAATGAGATAATTATACTTTAGGATTAAAGATAAAATTACAAAATTATCTCTTGCATATAAATAAAAAATAACTTAACATTAATATTAGTAATTTTTATGTTATGTTTAATTATCCTTTTAGTGTTATATGAATTATTTAATTTCTCTTTACTATTGTGTGAATGATGATGATAATTTATTTTTTAATATTTTAATATTTTTAATAAAAAAATCATAAAATTTAATCAATATTTGCATATACCTATACCGTGTCTATCATGCCTGTTAACATTCTTAGGGTTATCTATTTTGTTTGAGATACATCCTTCTATCATGACCTTCAAGATAAATTTTTTTATTTATCCTTTTTATATAATATTTTCTCAATGTTTTGAATTGACAATCCTACACACTTAATGAACATTATTAGCTTTTTTTTAATATTTATCTTGTAACTATTAATTATATTTTATTTCATTAAAATTAGGGACTCAAATAACCTTGAACCTAATAAACAAAATTAGTTAAGTAAATTAATTTGAGTAACTCACTGATGTTGTACACTAGGCTTTATTGAGAGGGAAAAGGTCTTTGAGACGAAGTTTGTTTTGTATTTATATAACTTTTAATTATTATTTGTGAATACTTTACAGTGATTGTGGTATTAAAAAATAAAATAAATATATATTGAATGAATAAATATACTGTTAAATATTTTTCCATATTATAAATTTAATTTTTTATTTTTAAGATAAAATATCTTATATATTTTTTTTTATTTTATTCAATCACATGCTTGAATATAACTTATAATAAAAAATATTTTAAAGATCATAAAATATGCATTTTTATAAATTATAAAATTTTAATATAATATAATATAAGTGATTCAAATCATATGAATTTTAAATTGTTGAGTACGTGAATTAATTAATAAAATTATTATAACTTAATTTGTAATTTTGAGTTTGAATTCTAGTGAATGTAATTATATTTAACTTTTGAAGGATGATTTTTGTTGCTTATAAAAAAAATACACAAAATTTGGTTCACTTAATTATTAAAATAACTAGACGTATAATTCTATTTTTAGTAAAACGAATTGTATAAAAATAATAAGAAATTGCATAAAATTAACTTAATGTTAAAGATAGGAGAAGATCCCTTCTAAATTACTCGATTAGTTTAAAAATTTAAACTTTTACGTTTATTTATAAAAAAATAATTAAAGAGCTATGAGTTTTTAAAATTTTTATGAGTTTGACAGAATGATGAGAAATATCACTATAACTAAGATTAAGAGCTATAATTTAAAATTAATTTTATTATAAATAAATTAAGATGACTTTGATAAACTTTGTAAGGAGCATTTATATATAAATAAAAAAGATTAAGTATTTTATTCGACTTAATTCAAAAAAAAAAAGGTGAGTTTTGAGATCATAAACAAGTTTTCTACCACACAATTCATGAAAATAACTTATATTCTTGAAGATTAGTTATGATTTTAAGAACAAATTTTCTCATACCTATAAATACATGAATTTTACGTGGTCTATTATTATTTTTATTGTTTAATAAAATTTCAATTTTCTTAAATAAAAATAGAATTAAATCTCTAATTTGTGTTATAATAATAGAAGACGATCGAGATCTAAAAATGGAGCTATGTGGTAATTGTATATGCTTCGTTACTTTCATTTCAATAACACAAAAAGAAAAAGAAAAAGAAAAAGAAAAAGGAAAGTAAGAGTTAGAATTTAAAAACATTGATAGGATTATAATATTGTATATTGGAAAGAGGAACGTGGTGTGGGGCCCTCTCCCCGCCGTTCTAACGGGCAAATGCTACCCTTTTCCCCGTTCTACTCTTTCTTCGCTTCGATCCTCCCTATCATTGCCAACACATCACACTTTCAACTTTTCCTCTTTAAATCATTATCAAATTATTGACTTCAATGCCCAATTTGGATTAGGAAATGCATAATCTAGTGTCATGTTTTTTCTTCTTCCTTAATATTAGATTCAGTGTTTTTAAAGTATTCATAAAGAATAATAAAATAATAAGGTTTGATTATGACTTATTTTAAAAATATATGCAATATTGTTTAAATATTCCCCTATTGTACAATTTGTTAATAAATAAATCCTTTTTGACTAATTTTTTTTTAAAAGAAACAACAATATATACATTTTAACCTCTGAAGATATTAAATAATCTTTTTCGTGTTTTTGTTAACATTTTAAAAGAAATTTATGATTATTGATATAATATTTTATAAAATTAAAAAATATTTATTTTCATATTGACTATTTATTTTTTTAAACTCATTATATTAAATAATTTTAATATTTTTTTAGTCAGTGTGATTTAATTAAAATAGAGTTATAAATAGGATTTCTTGGAGATTTTTTCCTTCTTATTTTATTTTCTATGATCGCTAGTACTTTATAAAGTTATTCATTGATTCTTAAAAGCTTGCAACACACTATTGTATCCCATTTCATAAATTCTGAGCTCTGTACGAACAACTTGTATAATTTGGGATTTATTACCCAGAACAGCAAATTTTATACCTCGAAATCAATGATTAAATATATAATAATTATTACTATGAATTTTATATTAATAAATATTGTGATTAGTGATTTATTTAAAAAATATTTAAATATTTTTTAATTTTTAAAATATTAACAAAATCATAACCGTCAATTAAAAAATATATACGATGTTTTTTCAAATTTATAGAATTTATACCTAACACTTAATTTAAAATTTAATGATAAGTATTTTACTAAGTCAAAGCTTTCATAGATGCACTTTCTTGATGATTTATTGTGAGCTGGAATGATACATAATAATTGTTCCAACAATCATTTATTGACATGAGTAGAAAATGTCAACAAGACAACAACCCATGCTATGATATATGGCCATGCAAATGTAACTAAGGCAAAAATATGTTTTAGCTGAATTTCTGCGTTATCTTTTTTTGGAAATGTAATTTTGTATCGTTTATACAACTTAGAGGAATAAGAATAGAAAAAAAAATGATCACTCTTATACTTTATTTTAAATTTAATAAATTCCTCAGGTAATAACTTATTGTAATAAATTTCATTTCAATATCCACAAGTATTTTAATACACCTTTTTTAAAATGTTATCAGCACACTTTTGCATATTAAAAACTAAATTTAATAAATTTTAGTCATATTTTTATAATTCATAATAAATTTTAATCATTAAAAAAATATATTCTTAAACCTCTACACCTTTTACTTTTTACTTGCATATCTTAAATTCAATAAAGAAGGTTGCTAGAAGAAAAATAAAAATTTAGAATCATTCAATAAAAAATTCGAAGACACGTTGCGTCCAAAATTAATGAATAACCAGGGTGACTTAAAAATGAAAGTACTCAAGCAAAAGGACTGAAAAATGTATATAATAATAATAATAATAATTCTTTTAACGTTTGTCTGAAAATATATGATAAAATAAAGATAGATACGTTAACTTTGTGAGGCTGTGAACCTGCTCTGCTATCTTCTCATCTCCAATAGTTACCGACCCCATTTATGGCAGCAACAGCGCCACTCCAAACAACGCACTAAATGCCATTTTCAGTGTCTATGGTACGGCTTTTTCAACTACCTCATCTGTCTTGATTCAACACACGTTCACCATTGAATTTCAAGCCTCAAATTGTGCACAGCCAATGACACCACACTGCAAATGTTCCACTTCCCGAGGTACTCTTCTCTCACTATGTTACTGCCTCCCTTGAACCAACTTCTTTCTTAATAATGGGTCGTTCTTTGTTTTCCCTGACAGGTGCTCCCTGATGTAAAGTTGCGTTTTTAGCTCCATGAACCAAGTTGAACACTGTCCAAGTTCGCTTTTTTCCTTCATGGTGCTCGTCAATTGCATGCTGTTGAATAGAGTTTTCTTCTGGGTAGTTTACTTTTGAAAGCTTTCAAGTTTGGAGGATCTGTTTTGAGTCTTTTGGGTTTTTCATCAAATTTGGTGCAAGATGTTCCAAGTTGATACATTGAGGTGTTCTTGTTGCCTTTGTTTTTGGGTTCTTTCATGGTTTTTGTTAATCCCAAACACTCATGGATTACAAGCAGCTCAGACCCAAGCCTTGTTGCAGTTAAGGATTTATCTGGAGTACCCAGAATCTTTGCAAATTTGGGAGAATTACAATGGGGACCTGTGTTTCCTTTCTTCATCTGCAAACATGAGCATTAAATGTGAAGATGATGAAGTAACTGAGCTTAAAATCATGGGTGAAAAATCTGTGAAGCCATCATGGTTCAATGGATTTGCAGTTCCCAATCAGACACTATCTGTGAATTTCTCTATCGATTCCTTTTTCACTACGTTGACTAGGTTGACCAGCTTAAGGGTTCTAAGCTTGGTGTCATTGGGGATTTGGGGGCCACTCCCTGATAAGATTCACCGTTTATCTTTGCTTCAAGTTTTGGACTTGAGCTCGAATTTCATGTTTGGTGCCATCCCACCAAAAATATCCACAATGGTAAAGCTTCATGGACTTACACTTGATGACAATTATTTTAATACCACTATGCCTGATTGGTTTGATTCATTGCCTAATCTAAGTATCTTGAGTTTGAAGAGCAATAGTTTAAAGGGTTCATTCCCCTCCTCACTGTGCAAAATTAGGACACTTGAAGTTATTTCCTTGTCCCACAATGAGCTGTCTGGGGAATTGCCTGGTCTCAGTTCTCTCACTGGCCTACATGTTTTGGATTTAAGAGAGAACCATTTAGAATCTGAGCTACCATTGTTGCCTAAAGCAGTTGTCACTGTTCTTCTTAGCAATAACTCATTATCAGGAGAGATACCTAAACAGTTTGGTAAATTGGATCAGCTTCAACATCTAGATCTTTCATCTAATCATCTCTGTAAGATACCACCATCTACCTTGTTCTCTTTACCAAAAATCAGTTATTTGAATCTGGCAAGCAATGTGCTAAGTGGGGTTTTTCCAGACAAACTTAGTTGTGGTAGCAAACTTGGGTTTGTGGATATTTCTAGCAACAAGTTACATGGTGAACTTCCTTCTTGCTTGGCCAATACTTCTGATAGCAGAGTTGTCAGATATGCTGGAAACTGTTTATCTGTGGATGATTCTCAGGGCCAGCATAGAGGGTCTTATTGTAAAGAATCTAGCTCAGGATGGAAGAACTTTAAGGCGTGGAAAGTAGCTGCAGTAGTGGCCATCACTGTTGGACTTGTTCTTGTGCTTTTGGTGTCTGGAGTTTTCTTATGGAAAAAATGCCATTCTAGAAACACAACTGGGAAAGATGTGTTGCTAAAGATTGTCCAAGATAACTCCACAACTGGGGTTTCCTCTGAACTACTTGCAAATGCCAGTAAGTACATAGGCAATAGTGGTGTATTGTTAATTCTTCAGATTTTAATAGGGTATGCAGTTTTCTGAAGTACTAATGTCTTAATTCCTATTATTTTTCAGGATTCATTTCTCAAACAGTGAAACTAGGGACACAAACTACTCCAACCTGTCGACAATTTTCAATAGATGAATTAAAGGAAGCCACAAAAAACTTTGACTCGTCAACTTTTATTGGTGAAGGCTCCAGTGGGAAGGTACCTTTCAATCACTCAAAATGATGTTCGAACTTTGAAATGTTGGATAGTTTAGTTTTTTGATTTAAGGGAGGACATGCCTCTGAGGTGTGTTTTACAGTTCTGTCAACAAATTTATTGTTATCTTGAGGAGACAAGATTGGCTACTTTTTTATTTTCAAATACTATTACCAAATGATTATTCTTCAGAATGAAGGTTTTCTTTTGCTTTTTTTTTTTTGTCACTGTCAAATGCCTTTAAGATTTAACTGACTATAAGTGAATAGAGTGCAGAAAATAGCTGTTTTTGGGTCTTTACTCCTTGTTAGAAAGTCAAGTGGTCTTGTTTGCATATTATTAGACATAGGGAAATTTTATCAAACTTATTTTTGTATGTTCACTGTATATGCCTCTTTTTAAGTCTGTTGCCATCTTTCAGCTGTACAAAGGTAAACTAGAGAACGGATCCTACGTGGCAATACGATCTTTGGCTCTATCCAAGAAATGCTCAATTCAAAATCTCAAAGCCAGATTGGATTTACTCTCAAAGCTTCAACATCCAAATTTGGTTAGCCTTTTAGGCCATTGTATTGATGGTGGTGGACAAGATGACTCCAATACTCACGAACTTCATCTTATATATGAGTATGTACCAAATGGGAATTATCGTACCCATCTGTCAGGTTAGTATGGGTATGGCATAATACAATAGACCAAGTGCTTCCCTCCTTATTTGTCAAGAAGAGCCCAATTTGGATGTGTATGTATAAATTAGTCTAGGCTAAATTTGTGGAATTAATTGCGATTGAGGAAGAGAGGTGTCCCTAATTAGAGTGCAGTAGTTTTCTTCTTCATTAAGAAACAGACTACATTCAAGTTTGCTATTGAAAAATAATCACACATTAAATTGATAAAAAATTAGAAGCCATTAAAAAGTAGTAAGACTTGATTATTTATCACTTTTAGGTGTTGTTACTTGTTAGGCTTAACATGGAAGTTACTATGTAGAGATTTCTTCCTTAGGGATGCAAAGTGATGAGTAACTTATTTTTTGGATGATGTTTATATCATTTACAACCTTCATAACCTCTTATTTTTATTAATGTAATCAGTTTTGTTATAACAATTATTTTTTCTAGTCATAACTTTCTCTTCTTGAAGGCTGAATTCAATCCACTAATCTTCCTTCATTCATACATGAAGAATTTTCTGCAGAGAAGGCACTTAAGTGGTCTGATAGATTGGCAATTTTAATTGGAGTTGCGAAGGCGGTGCATTTCTTACACACTGGAGTTATACCTGGCTGTTTTAGCAACCAACTAAAGACAAATAATGTCTTACTTGATGAGCACGGCATTCCAAAACTAAGTGACTATGGTATGTCCATCATCACGGAAGAAATTGAAAAGCTTGAGGTTTGTTTCGGACAATCCAATATTTTCACCATGATCTAATGTAATTGATCCTCGAGTGACTCTGTTGTTTTCTCTGTGTTGTACAGGCAAAGGGTGAAAAGCCAAAATCACGGTATGTGTGTCATACCAAAACTCATTTTACTTTACCTCAAAAACTTGCAAATTAAATTTTAACTATCTTGTTAGGATTATATTTTATAAAATTCAATTACACTTTACTTTCTGCTAAATCCTCCGACCAGGGTCTTAAATTGCAGGCCTTAACTGCAACTGTGGCCGCAATATTACGGTTTTGGAGGTTTCTGCAACCAGTTATGACCACAATTGTAGTTGCACTGGCCACATTTGTCCACAATCGCAACTACAACAATAGCTTAAAACATTGCTTCCTACCTAAACCCCAATTCCTTATTGCTCTCTTTATTACCTCAGTCTATGTATCTTATTGCAATACTCACTAACATCACTATGAACTCTACTCACTATCAGCTCCACGGTCATGGCAGCATAAAAGAACTAGAAATCCATAAGAGTCATCATGACTGTTGTCATTGACTTTAACACCCGTAACACAACCATGCTTACATTTTTCGTTTGTTCCCTTGAAGCCACTTCATTCCTCACTGCCTCAACTTCTCCCAATATGTTTTGTTTAGTCATCACTTTTTCCCCCTTATTTTCACCCTTTATTATCCATTATCAAGGATGTGAAAGATGGAATCCATCCATGGTTGTTTGAACTTCGATGTCCTTTTTATGCTTAAACAATTTTATGTTGTAGATCAATAATAATTTTTTCTTTTTTCTCTTGCAGCCTAAGGCCAAAAGCGGAGGACGATGTTTATAATTTTGGATTCATATTGTTTGAATCACTTGTTGGACCAATAGCATGTGACAAAGGTGAAACAATTTTCCTACATGAAAAGGTTAGTAAAAACTTTTTAAAACATCTGTCATTTGTTTTTGGAAGAATAAAACGTAGGAAAAAAATTAACAAATATATTTAGTAATTTGCTGCTATTAAATGAGTAATATAACAAACACAACTAAATTTATTAACTTTGGCTGAGAGATGCAAAGTACTAAACTAAAGAGTAATCTATTTGTGGTGATGAAATTCTTTTTAGCTCAATGCTTTTCACACTTCCACCAAAATTGATGAGTTTATTTTGTGCTTGTTTTATTACCCATTTAATTATAGCAAATTACTGATTATTTTTGCTAATTCTTTTTCCCACGTAAAAACTACTGCCTTAATATATTCAATGTCTTGATGACTTTTTGGTATGAAAAGTTATTTTCATTCTTGTTCACTTTGATTGTCCTGATTCCAAGCATCTGGAAGTTATCTATTTGTATTTACACTACATCTAGATTACGAAAATCTACTTATGACATAATAGGCCCATTTGTAAACTTTTAATTTTAATAAAAAGTTATGATTAATTAAAATGTATTTTTAAAATGTAATAATTGTGTAATTTTAAAAAATCAAGTATAAAAAACTATTTAGTATTTTTCTTGGAAGTTTAAAATTGTAACCCCTAAGAAAACTGTCACAAATCCATTTTTTAAGCTTTAACAAACAAGTGCATAAACTGATGAATTTAAGTTATTGGACAGAAATTTTTTGGGTCAAATATATGATTGAGAACCTCTAGGATATTGCCATTTTCTATCTACCCTCCTCCATATTTATAGTGGTGTGAAACATTAATTGCCTTTTGTTTTATTTAATATAAAGGTTTTAATTAATAAATCCTAGACTTGGTGTTGTGGAACCACAGGCATCCTTTGGCAGTCAAGATGGTAGAAGAAAGATTGTGGACCCATTAGTGTTGACCACTTGCTCTCAAGAGTCATTATCAATTGCAATATCAATAACAACCAAATGCATATCTCCAGAATCTTCATCTCGTCCCTCTTTTGAGGATGTCCTATGGAACTTACAGTATGCAGCTCAAGTTCAAGCCACATCAGAAGCAGACCAGAAATCAGATTCTATATAGCATCATAGGTCCAAGTGTGTAGTGTAGGAAGCTCAAAACTAGAGCTTCTACTAATCCATTCCTTCTCAACAATGTAGATAGAAAAATCAAGGATCTAAAAGTAAAAACACAATGCAAGTTCAAAGGTATAGTTGTAAAAATGTTCACCCCCATTTCTTTTTCTGTTTCTTCTAGAGTTCTCATAGCACATAATTAGAATTCACATACTTTTTAGAAAGAAGTATAGAAGAGGGAATTTAGGCCAATGAATCAAATCATGAACTTGACTAACTACTGATAGGATGAATGATCCTGGAAGATGTTTGGTTTAAATTGTAATCATTGTTGAAATTTCTAATGAATGTATGGTAGTATATCATGTCAAGATGTAAATTTTTCTTTCAGTATGGGATATAGTTGCCTTCAATTCCCACGCTAGCTTGCCTAATTCTTTTGGATGTTTTTGTTCTTTCTTTCTCTATGACATTCTCATTCTTGTGGTTATTCAAAGGACAATTTAAGATAAAGGTTAAAATAAATAATTAGTTTACTCAATTTAAACTTTGGTTCATATCATTGTGGTATGAATTCTAGTATTTTCTGTTCATTTAGAATTTAGCAAAAATCTTCTCTCACCCAAAGTAGGCGAGTAACTAATTGAGATCACAATGGGTGGAGTTATTAGGAGCCTCTATTATCACTTCAAAATGTGTATTGTCACTTTTTACTAAGATTTTTTCAAATATCAATATTTCATTAATTTAATCAACCAATAACATTATCTTATATAAAAAAAATTTGAAGATGGAGTGATAATAGGCATACCCTTACTTATTGGATATGTACATACATATATGCTCTGGACTCATCACCGTATTTTAATTAACTTCAATACTCATAATAAATTTGTTTGATAATTTAAATTTGAATGCTATTATAATGCTAACTTTAATGATAAAAAAAAAAACTAATGCAAAAAGATCTTCAATGTAAAGTACAGAGCATAATTGAAAGATATTTAAAGATAATCTAATTTTTAATTTATAAACATTACGAACATATTTTTTTTAATTTAATTTATTTTTTTAAAAATAAATTATAGTTATAAAACATAATAGTATTCTAGCATTCATATTCACAAAATTTTGTACATAATTACCTATATCTAAACTAATTGATAAATAAATTCACCACTCATTGTGAATAATATTTTTTAGTATCTACTGAATATGGATTTGATTACGATTCTAAAATTAACCGTTGATTTAGAGGTATCTTAATGCAACTTTCTAAAATTTCTTTTAATAAGCTATTTAACAAAGGTTTGGAGTTTTTTTTCGTATATACTAATCTCTTTTTTAACATATAAAATATTTAAATTGTATAAAATTTAATATATATATATATATATATAATATAATATAAAATATTCAATAATTAAAATAATTAATTTTACATTATATAAAAAATTATTAAATGATATAAATATTTATATTCGTATTTTCCAAAGTTTTATAGCTGTCTTGGATGTTTGGTTATGGTTATTAGTTGGATTTTCCCTTAGCATAAGCCAAAATGGTGCTGGCTTCTGTTGCATCATATTATGGTCCCAATTCCAATTAAGATTTTTCAATTTTTAGGGCCACAAACGATGTCGTTTGTATTTATTTATTCAATGCGTTTAATTTAGATCATTGGCGCAAAACTTTTGGTGTGGGGTAATGCCCAAAAAGATTAAGGCTAATTAGAATCTTTATTGCACATACTTTTTTAACTTCCATATAATTGTGAGACTTTTTTCAACTTTAATTATTTATATTTAATTTTATAATTTTTAATTATTCAATTTAAGTCTCTTCCCTTATATTTTATTTAATAATTAATAGAAATGTAATTTAAGTGTGACATCTCATTTACATGTATAAATTAGAAAAAAAATATTTAAATAAAGCTATAAAGCATAGTAAAACTATTTCTATTTTTATTTAAATATATAATTATATACTTGTTTTTGTAAATCTAAACAAGTTAGTGATAGATTATGTTTTTGTTAATTATGAAATAAAATTTTAAAATTAAAATAATTTAATTTAAATAATTGAAAAAGTTATAAAATTAAATATAAATAATTAATATTAAACAGATCGAAATTACACATAAATTTATAAATATTAAAAATTATAATTGAGCCAAAAATTATAGACAAAAATAGGTGAAACCTTTTGGTATTAGTAGGTAACAACGAACTTTCTTGTGGCGTTTTTTTTTCTTTCATCGAGATATGGAGTCAACATCAAATTGTAGTAAATGCTTAGAGAAAATATAAAAAACTCAATTGTGCTTTTGATTGCTGTGTGATTTTAGTTTTATTTATTTATATTTAGTATTTTAAAATTTTTAAACTAATATAAAATGTGTATTTATTATATCAGTTTCATGTATAACTGATGTAAAATATATTTTTTTACATCGGTTGTTAATCGATGTAGAATACACTTATTACATTGGCTATATCTACATCGGATATAAAAAGCTCTTTTTAACTGATGTGAAAAGCTATTTTTGTATTTGGATAAATAAAAATATAAACGACAAACTCCATTACATGACCTCCAAAATGTGAGAACAAGAAGGTTAAAAGAATTTTAAAGGGTTTAGAAAAACTTCCTAATCCTTTTCATCCTATTTAATTAACTTCCAAGTAAGAGTTATTAATTATTAATCTCTTTCTTCTTCTACCCTCTCCTCATCAACATTAAATCTAAATAAAGTATAAATAGAATTAAAGAGTTTGCTAGTCTTTAATTTAACTTTTTAAAAAAATGGAATATCGAAAAAAATTTAAATTTAATGATAGCATAAGAATAGAAAAATTTTAAAGATGAGATGAATAGTTGAAAATAAATAATTAATAAAGATTAAATAAATATGCAATTAATAATTCTAGTAGTAAAAAAATGTTTTTTTAAAAATAAAATTGAATACAAACTTATTGCATCATATAATAAGTAAAATTTCTGTTTATTATTATAAAAATATTATATTTTTATTATCTTATACTAATAATGCTAGTATATTGAACTCCAAAACATATAATTAATTAAGTATACAGTAAAAAAATTATAAATATCATTTAGAGATTCTTACATTTTATCTAGTAAGATTAAAAATCAAATTATACGAAAATAAAGTATAAAAATAGTGAAAAGTCAAAAGAAAAGGAATGAAGACCTAATTTAAAATAAAATTTAAGAAAATATTATATGTCAAATTTAGTGGTACAACTTTTATATTAAAGTGTTGATTGAAGTAAGTCTTTGGTATGAAGTGTAGAAAACAATTAGAAGTGCAGAGGTTAAACTCTTACAAGTCCACGTTTACAAGTTCACCATTCACAAAGGATGAGAGTGCAATAGGTTGAGGTGTCCACTTCCTTACCATAATTACTCTTATAAACACTCAATTAATTATTGAAAATAAGATATTTACTAATTTTCTTTTCTTCCACGTTATTTTAAGATGGAATGCATTTCCTTTTCAATTAAAATAATAATAAAAAAAAGAGAAAGAAAAGAAAAAAGATGAAATGCATTTGTCTGAACTCTTGAAATTCATCTAGGATTTGACAACTTCCCTTCTCTCTAATTAATTTGACATTCAAACGTTAAACTTTAAATTTAAATAGTTAATTACTAAATAATTTAGCGTTTGTCTAATTTAAGAATTTTTTAACTTTAATTTATATAAAAATATGAGATAAATATAAATACTGTGAAAGTAGAGTCAAAATACAGACTATTCATGCACGTCTTTATTAATTCATCTTCCAAACAATGATATGTTTTATTTTATTTATATTAAATATTTTCTATTGAATGGTTTTTAATTAGTCTTTCGTTAGCTCCTTAAGTATATTTTTTCATTTATATTTTTCTTTCTCCAAATATTACAATTATTTATTTAATTTATCCGAATATATTGATTTTACCATTTAATCTGTCTAAAATGAGTTAAACAAAAAATGCATGATATTTAAATAAATCAATTAAAACAACAAAAATATAACAAAAAATTCATTGCATTATAAAAAAATATTTTAAAACTAAAAGTTCACAGGTTTTTTAGAAACAAAAATTATAATTAAATATACTTTAAAAAAATGCAATATTTCCAATAATGAATACTAACTTGCTAAGCTGGTGTTGGACTACCTGCATGTGCTGGTTGGGAAGGTGCATGCAAAACCACAATTATTATTATTATTTTATTTTGGGACGATCAATATCAATGTACATGTTTTTTTTTCCTTCAAAATTGAAGTACAATTTGATAAATAATTTTCTATTATTTTAATTAAAATTTTATTTTAATACAAATTTAAATTTAAAATTATTAAATAAAAAATTATATAAAAATTATATTTTTTTTTAGGTGTTATTAATTTACTAGCATCCAATTTCCTTGAGCTTTGTAAACTATGGGTTGAGCAGATTTGGTGACGAGAGAGCATTACGTAGAAACGACGCATAGGGTATCGTGATCGTGTGGCGTATACTTCACGCGCTATATTGGTAGAGTAACGAACACCATTTCTGTTCTGTAACTTCTCTTCTGCTTCTGCTCCCACTGAACCCACAATCGGTGGGTCTGTTTGGGGGCACTTCTCGTTTGAAAGACACACTCCTTCGACGACTCCGAGAAAAGCGAGTAACTAATTCTTGAGGGAGATATTTATTTGCACAAACGAATCAAAAAATAAAATAAAATAAAAAATTCAAATAATATTAAAAATGATATTTTTTTAAATTTATATTATTCAGTGTCTTAATAATATTGATTAATATTTTCTTTATTTTTAATAGTTCTATTAACATCTATTATAATTAATTTCAAGCGTATAATGATAATCATTTTAAAATAATTATTGCATAAAAATGATTATTTTCATTATATAAAAATATTTAACTATCTAAAAATGATAATTAATAATATTTCCAGAGAAGACAATTTAATTCAAACTAGGAATAATAAATATGTACCATTAGAACCAACTATATTAATGTAATGTATTTTTTTTATAAAAAATAATTTTTAAATGCTTAAAACAAGTTTCTTATTAATATTTTTATTTTTAATATATCATTTTATTAATCAATATTTTAATAAAATTTAAATTATATTAAAAGTCATGATAAAAACGCATTATTAATATTTATAAACGAAATATAATATCTTTTAAATATATAGTAGCATTGGCCTTTAGTATATTTTACGCTTTTATTAGTTACGCTGTAAAATCGTGATAATGCATGAATTACTCGAGAAAAAAATTTGAACTTCCAATATGTTCAACACAGAATACATTATATACATTTTAATTATGCGAATAAATAAAAATTTGAAGTCACGTAAAATTTATTTCTAGAGACAAAGAAATAAAGTTTGTGTAGCACTAACTTCAAAGTGGTGATTTGTAAGTCACTTGATCTGGCGAGGCATCACCATCACGAGACATGGTGATTTCAGTTGTTTACACCAAACATCTCGTTTGATGAGCCTTACCAAATGTATTACATATTCTTGGCTAAAATAACGAGCCACCCTTTAATTTTATTTTTTTTATTGAATCACTTTTACATGAATATTCTATATTCTATCCTTTGCTTGAATGCTTCTATATTATATATATTCTACTAATATATTGAGTTAGTGTGCTTCAGAAGCTGTAAATGAAAGTGAATCAGAAATAAGAATGTCTGAACAAAATAGAAAAAAAACTATAAGGGACTATATTCAGATAACTTATGGTCTCAGAAATATGGTGACCCCATTTCAGTAATATCAATCTTTTGCATCTTTCTGATTTTTTCACCACCTCACCAGCCACTGTTTTTCCTGGTAAGGTCTACATTACACCACCGGCTCTTCTTTAATGCATACATGTTTTTCTTTTTATAAGAAATTAATGACTTTTATGTTGTGTATTTAACTTGTAACTTGATTCCATGGTCCACATTATTGATTTTTTTTTACTTGTTTCTAGGTCCCGTTTGTACCCCTTCTTTCTGCTTTGTTTTTGGGTTATCTTAAGCAATTTGTTGATGTGAATGTGATCCTTCTTAATTTTTAAAGTAGTTTTAAGCTCACACTTAACAGGTTGTTCCTGTTGCATTAAAGTTATGTGCAATTAGTCATACTGGTTTTGCTTCAGAGGGCTTGTGCTTGTGATTATTCTACACATTCAACCAAGTTGGAGTGGTGAGAATCCATCATGGTTCTAGGCATGAGAGGAAAGAACAGGAGAAGTGTCATCGTTCAAATTGATTACCTCATTCATATTCAGGAGATTAAGCCATGGCCTCCATCACAATCTCTAAGATCCCTTCGTTCAGTGTTGATAGAGTGGAAGAATGGTGAATGTGCATCAGGTTCTACCAATCTTGTTGCCCCTTCGCTTGGTTCGGTTATAGGCGAAGGGAGAATCGAATTTAATGAGTCATTTAGGCTTCATGTAACTTTGATGAGGGATATGTCTGTAAGAGGTGGTGAAGCTGATGTGTTCCAAAAGAATTGCTTAGAGTTCAACTTGTATGAGCCTCGTAGAGATAAGATTGTAAAGGGTCAGTTGTTGGGCAGTGCCATCATAGACTTGGCAGATTATGGTACACTTAAAGAGACCTTGAGCACTAGTGTGCCTATGAACTGCAAGAGAAGTTACAGGAACACAGATCAGCCACTTTTGTTCATTAAAATTCAGCCTGTTGAGAGGATTCGTGCTAGTCCCTCATTGAAGGACAATAATGGCGGTGATTCTGTATCGACACTGATGAATGAAGAATATGCTGAGGAAGCTGAGATTGCCTCTTTTACTGATGATGATGTCTCCTCACATTCATCTGCGGCTGCAGTTTCTGCTTCCCATGAGTCCAGTGAGTTTAACCCTCCGAAATTGGAAAAGGTACTAATTTCATTTATATCTTTTGTTGATAGTGTAAGAGATGTCATAAAATCATCAAGTGTATTCTCGCATGAATTGTTTTAGTTTACATACAGATATCAGAAGTATGGATTTTACATTTATTATAACTTCGTTAATGTATTTAGCTATTTACAATGATGCATAGTACAGAGATAAAATGTACCCATTTGGAAAGAGAGAGATGTAACTCCTTACAAAATTATCAGCCCTATATCATAAACAAACATTTTCGTTTTTTATGTGCTGGCATTGTGTATTTTTAGATCAAGTAAATGTGGTTCAGACAAACAGCAATACAATAAATATAAATTTCAACTTTTGCATAATTTGAGATTGTTGAACAAGGTTTATAACTTGCCATCAGCAGGGCAACTGGACCTAGAGAAATCAAATTATAAACTACTCAATGTTAAGTATAAAAAGTTACCGAAATCATATTTGCATGTTTTCATCATTAGTGTGATAAATTTTTAAGGTTTTCTTGTGTGTTACATATGAATATATTAAGAAAATCCTAATGAAGCAATATAGTCATTGCAATTGCAGAATGAACCAAATGGACATGATAGAAGCACCGGTGTGAATGACAAAGAACGTCCCTTGGCTTCAGAAATGGGGCTTAAAAACTTGAATATGGTGCAACAAGGTTCATCTTACATGGATGTCTCTTCTTTTATCAAGAGTCCGGTAAATGATCATGGTTCTATGTCAACCTCTCCTAACCGTAATTCTTTGTCGATCCAAAAGCATGTTGCTTCACCTAGCGCTGATTCTTCTTCCCTGTACTTGGATGTAAATTCTAGGAGCAGGACAATAAGCAGTGGTCATGAAAATTTAGACCAGATTTTTCATGAAAAGGTTGGTAACTACAGAAATATAGTTGCAGCTGTTAAAAGAAACAATACCGGAAGTACTTTTAACGGCTATTCAAATCACACATCATCTGAATGTGATGACAAATTAAATGGGAGAAGCAAGGAAGATGACAAATATTTTGTGAAGGAGGGAGGAGGTAAAAAAATTTGCTATGGCTCTGTTGAGGACATAAATGGAAATGAAAATTCTAATTTGGATAGGCAAAACTGCATGGAAGATGAACAATTGGTAGCACAAGTTGCCAAAGATCAATCCTTATTAGGTAGTAATTCATGTTCTTTTGGTGGGTCAAATATTGGTATCCAGGGAAATGTTCTCAGAAGTGAAAGACTAAAGAACTTTAAATCTGTGAAGTTACCAGCAGACTCGGCTAGGAATGCTGGAACACCTGGTAGCGATCATCACGCTGAAGTAAATGAAGATGACATTCTTGGAGATGCACAAAGCAATGGAGGGAACAGAAGCAATGACGGAAGAGATGCTAAGATTTATCTGAAGGAAACGAAAAATGTTGATGGAAAAATAGGGCATTTGGAAAAGAAAATAAAGATGCTTGAAGGAGAGTTAAGAGAAGCTGCTGCTATTGAGGCTGCTTTGTATTCAGTAGTTGCTGAGCATGGAAGCTCCATGAGTAAGGTTCACGCCCCAGCTCGACGCCTTTCCAGGCTCTATCTTCATGCTTGTAAAGAAAATCTTCAGGGAAGAAAGGCTGGAGCAGCTAAAAGTTCTGTTTCAGGATTAGTGCTTGTTACAAAGGCATGTGGAAATGATGTCCCAAGGTACATTTGAGTCTTATCTCTTACTGTAATTTTTTCTCATCTTTTTTCAGTTATCCTATCATTTCAAACTAACATTTTAAAGATATTCATTAGTACTTTGCACCATCATGAAAAGTTCGCTATTTATTTTATGTAACTTCTTATTTTCGTTAATTGATTAATACAAGAAAAAATCTATGGCAAAAAGAAAAGTTCCTTTATGCTGAACTAGTGATACATTGTTATATGAAAATGCTTTCAAAAATGAGAATAAGGTTAATCCAAACCTTCTTTTGAAGGAATGATGAAGTTTAATACAAACCTTCTTTTGAAGGAATGATGAAGTTTATATCCTGCACAAAATTCTTAAATGTTTCAGCTTAGTAGTTAGAGGTTGTTCAACTGATTTTTTGATGAATTTATTGCCTGTGATAGAAAATATAGTTTCATCACGAACTGTGCCAGCTGGTTGATCTCTTCCTGCATGGCTACAGGTTGACCTTTTGGTTGTCTAATACTATAGTGTTGAGAACAATTATAAGCCGAACCGCGAAAGATTTTGTTCCAGCAGCTGGATCTATTAGGAGAAGAAAGACCGAAGGAGAGAGGAATGTCAAGATAACATCCACAATAAGGTTGAAAGGACTAAACACTGGAAAAAATGAAAATACAGAATTAGGGTATGGAGGTTTTGGTAACTGGGATGATCCCCAGGTGTTCATGTTAGCACTGCAAAAGGTGGAAGCATGGATCTTCTCTCGCATTGTAGAATCTAACTGGTGGCAGGTAATGCCTTTATCTTATCCTTCCCTTGAACAATCCTACATCTGCCCTATTGATGGTTAAGTATCACAAAACTCCATTGTCATATAACATGAATCCTTCTTTGTCTATGTCTAGACTTTGACTCCACATATGCAGAATACAAGTTTGACCAACATGGAAGTGGGTTCTGTTTCAAGAAAAAACTACAGAAGGACATCTAGCTCATGTGATCAAGAGCAGGGTAACCTGTCACTATATATTTGGAAGAATGCCTTTAGAGAAGCTTCTGAAAGACTCTGTCCTATTCGAGCTGGAGGGCATGAGTGTGGTTGTCTGTCTATGCTTCCTAGATTGGTCAGTCTCATTTAATCTCTTCCTAAACTTTTTTGTGCTATAAGAAATCAAAGTTTTTCTTTTATCATATTTCACTGTCATTTTGTTGTCATTTTTCTGGGGTTAGGCTGGGGTTGGTAAGGATAAAAACTTTGAATGGAGTGATTGTGTAAATAAAGAAAAATGGAGAATTTATGTATTTACCAAAAGATTATAAAAACAAAAGCAGAACAAACAAATGTAAGTTGGAAAGATATTGTCGCGCAACATGTGAAAAATAATATTTTAGCTTGTAAATAAAATATTTTGAGGACAAAAGAGTTTATTGTGACAGTAAATTTCATTTTTCTTTGGACATTATTATCACTGATTCCTATTAGGAAATATTAACTATGATAGACAAACAATGGCAGTTATAAATATAAGGTGTGCCCGTTGTGGCTGATCTTGGGTCTCATGAATTAGTCATGGTGGCTGGCTAGCAAGGTGGCTTCATTTTAGTATCTTTACTGGAATATAGTACCATAAAGGGTTGAGAAAAGTATAATTTGTTCAAATTTTTATATCAGAAAGCAAAACATCTGCATGTGTTTTTCTCCATCCAAGTTAATATCGCTGAATGGTATATTCATTTGTATTGCGTCTAAGTTCATTACCTCAGTCAATGAAAGCTCTTCTTCAGTTCTTACATATATCATGACATCAGAGTGCATTTCTTTTACCTAAATCCAGATAATGGAGCAGTGTGTGGCAAGATTAGATGTGGCTATGTTCAATGCTATTCTTCGTGAGTCTGACAATGAAATACCAACTGATCCTATATCTGATGCTATTAGTGATCCCAAGGTTCTCCCCATTCCACCTGGGAAATCAAGCTTTGGAGCTGGTGCACAGCTAAAATCCGTGGTAAATTCAATATATATATATATATATATATATGCATACCACCTTTCATGGTTTTATCTAATGATTAAAATTTACTCCTCTCACTCGCATAATATCAATAGGGAACTCTATGGCATGCATGTGGCTTCTAAAGTAGGCCATGAATATTTGCTTTTTGGCCTGGAACTAGCTGAAAAGATGTTGATCTAGAGGGTGACTGCAAGTTTTGAATAATATTATATCACAAAGATAATTTCCTTGTCATTATTGGTACCTTCTTTTCATTTATACCATCAATTTGTCATTATCAGATTGGGAACTGGTCTAGATGGTTGACTAATCTATTTGGCATGGATGATGATGACTCAATTGAAGATAAAGCTGATTCTGAGAGCAATGATGAGAGACAAAAAGCATCCTTCAAGCCCTTCAGTCTTCTTAATGCACTAAGTGACCTCCTGATGCTTCCTAAGGACATGCTGTTAAGTGCATCCATCAGGAATGAGGTTTGCCATTGAAATTGAACTTTTCTTCATGTAGTTAGTTTCTTACATGCTGTATGTCTCTCCTAATCTTGCTAAAAGGATTCATTTTTGTTAAGGTATGCCCGATGTTTAATGCACCACTCATTAAGAAGATTCTAGACAATTTTGTCCCAGATGAGTTTTGCCCTGATCCTGTTCCCTCTAATGTTTTTGAAGCTCTGAACTCAGAGGTTAGATATCCAAATTTTCACTCAAATTTTTGTGCTTATTATTTAGGATTTTCTGTTGGACATACTCCATATCAAATATTCTCATATGCATAAAGAAATAATAATAAAAAAAAACACATTATATTTGGGTATGTTTCAGCATGCATTTGAAATCTGGGCAATGCCTTCGAAAGAGGTCTCAATGAAAATCGAAATTGATATATTTTGTTGCAGGCTTCAATATCTTTCTGGCCCCTCAAAGTGGTCTGAATTTTGATTTTAGTCCTTACAAAATTATATTTTTCGTTTTAGTCTCTATATTTTCATAAATGGTTGATTTTGGTCCCTGTCATTTACATGGATTCACAAAAATGTGACACATGGCACAAATTGAGACGTGAAAACTTTTGAGTTAACCACGTCATCTTTTAGCAGTAATTAGGGATCAAATCAATAACTTTTAAACAAGTAGCGACTATGAATATTAACGGTACGTTTTCTTAAAAATTAAAAACACATGTAATTTTAGGTTTTAAAAATATTTTTTTAAAAAAATGAAAATAAATATACTCTAATTAATTTTATTTTTCTTGATTTTTTTTTCTATATATAGCTAATATTTATGTTGATTTGTCATGGCTGGTGTTTAATTTCTTGCAAAATTTATTGGAAAAACATGGTTGTAGCCAAATTAAAGGTATTATATTTAAGTTATGAACTTATGATATATAATTCCCCACGCTATCCAAAGGAAAAACATGCATAAGAGGTTTCAGAATATGGAAGCTGCCAAGTTCTGATACAGGCTTAGCTTGTTTGACGTAGAATGTGATATCTAAATTTTGTTATGAATTTGACACAGAATGATATGGAAGATGGAAAGGAGTCCGTGAAAAACATTCCATGCATTGCAGCTTCGATTGTGTATTCACCTCCACCAGCAACCTCCATTGCAAGCATTGTTGGGGAGATGGGAAGCAAATCTCAGCTAAGAAGAAACAGATCTTCTGTTGTTAGGAAGTCATACACCAGTGATGATGAGCTTGATGAATTGAAGTCCCCATTGTCTTCAATATTCTTGAGTGTTTCAACAAAATCCAGCTTGAAATTCAAAGAAAATCGCAATGAATCTCCTGTCAGATATGAACTCCTCAGGGATGTGTGGATGAACAGCGAGTGATTTTGTGGTGGATAGATTCTACTCTCTTAAGTGAGCTTGTCTGTATAGTTTGCAGGTAAATGTGTAGCCACCTTTGGCTTGATCCAATAAAATTCAAAGGTTGAAACATCATTGTTGGTGCAGTTTAGAGACAAACTCACTTTAAAGAAGCCTTTTCACTCTAGGTATAGCAAAGCATGAACATCATTAACAACATAAAATAGAGATAATGAGAATGGTATTCATACAAATAAGAAGAATGCTAGCAACACAGTCCTCTGAATTAACTTTTTGACACACTTTTTGTAACTGATTATTAGTATTTTGACTTTTTAAAAAAAAGACCAGTCACAAAGAGTGTATCCAAAAGAATGATTTGCTTGCATTTCTCAACAAATGAGAGTACTTTGAGACTCTAAATGCAACTTACAACCTGGCCTAAATGAGAGGTTAGCTTGAAAATGAGTTGTTAACACCAAATCCTATAGTTTTTGTTGCTTACTTTGCCATCTGAATCTGAATCCGAACGACACAATGAATTCAAGTATAAAGAGACAAACAGAAACAGAGTAGAAAGAAAAAGCAGACAGCACGCATTCATTAATAGAATTTAGTTGTCATGTTCCCGGAAATAAAACAAGTCTTACATATACAACTATTTTCTCTGCTTTCTATCTTGGAAATTTGCAGCTGATAACATTCACTAGCATTAGAACCATATGTTACGTGAGTAAACTCCCTCAAAATGGTATATTTTAATCGCAACTTCTAAGAGGAAAAGAAAGAAGACAACCACCCCTTTTGCATGATTGCAGACATGTTCATCCTAGAGTGGCGTGTAACGAGAGCTACTCAAAGAAATAATCTTGACAAGGAGTGGGATCAGGTTCTAAGATTCCTTTTCACCAAATGCTATTTCCAAAAATTCACTTCTACAACTACTTGCCACAACTATTATAATTAAAGGTATTGTTCTTTTAGTGAAATATTTATAAGATTATAAAAAATAAATATAAAAAATAATTTATGTTTTTCTTTTAGAAACTTTTTTACGTTTCTCTAAAATTTGAAAAACTTAGTTATTTTTAATTTATAACAAAAATTATTTAATTTTTATATTAATTTCTTAAAAAAGTTTATTTAAACTCAATCATATTCATATGATATTGTAGTTATGACCATTATAATATTTATTTTATCATTACTATTATTATTAGTGCGAATGGAGTTTAGAGTTTTCATTTACACTATTTTAACTGGTGGCTAATATTGAAAAAATAATTTTTTTTATTAGTATAATAATCTAAACGAGTCACACATACATCTTGATACACATCCTTTGATGTTAAGGGCATCTCCAAAGAATAGAAGATATCTTAACATTTTAAATTGACTATTTTGTAATTCTAATAAGTTTTTCTACAAGTTTTTAGTATGTAAATTCTGTAATATTCTTAAAAAAATTTTAGGATACGACACTTATTAAAAAAAAAAAATTAATTTTTATCTTGTGATTACAGCACACGTACTTATTAGCATACTTATTACCTATACTATAATTTTTATAATTACAAGTCGTGTATCATCACCATAGTTGCCTCCACTATTATCTCCCTCACCAACTAACCATCCATAATGTCTAACTCCTACTTTAATATTTATTATTCAACTGTTAAAAATTATTTTTCTTACTTAATTCACTAGCATTTAGCATTATTATTGCTAATGAACCAGTAACAGAAACAAAATCATATTTTGCGGTAGTAATTCAATAACATAAAAAGTTTCAGAGATAATCATAATAGTCTTGAAAAAAATACCAAGAAACACACAATAATGATGATGATAATAATAATAATAATACAAGAAAATTAGTAATTAATTACAATTATATGAGAAATAAAATAAATATAAAATAAAATTTTGAATTTTGGCTTGGCTAAGGAATGGAAAGTATTGATCTGAAGAGTATTTTGTAGTCTGCATAAATTACTCGGTGACTCGATGTAAATGGCTTTACAATTAAAATAAAATAGTTACTTTTTATTAACACTTAATTGGATTTAGCAAAGAACACATGAAAAATTCTAGAATGCTTAAGGGAATAAAAATTTCTTGAAAACAAAATAATTTTCTTAAGTAATTTCTCCATGCAAAATTGCAACAGGAAATGTATAGACAAAAAGAAAAAGAATAGAACGCCGTGGCATGATTTTTGCTAACTGCTTAGTTTTTATTTGCTTTTTAAACAATTACTTAACAAATCAAATAACTTTACTTCTTCATGGTGAATATTTTCGTTCTATTTAATAGTACATAACAATGATGGCGGCGTTCAGCAACATTTGAGGTGATAATTTGACTTAGTAAAAAGAGGATTTGTAAAGTAGCAACAAATCAATAATAATAATAATAATAATAATATCCTACGTATTATTTATTTAAAAGCAAAAGAGTGTTCTCAAGAACCCTATTGTATTTGTGAATTAGTAATTACAACACTCAATCTTTTCATCCAAAGTTGTTTAACATGGTATGATACTTTTGATCTTGCGCTGTTACCAAATTCTGGTGAGTTCTCAACACACTTTTCTCTCTTCTTACAACTTTGTAAGCATTAAACAGATATCTATTTGTCGTAATAGTATTAGCTTTAGGATTAGGAGTGACATGTCGATTGCTTTCCTTTCTAAATCTATGATGAGTGGCATGGTGTTTGAGTTTTCCACAAACATTGAGCGATAAGATGATAGTTTTCATTTTTAAATTTTATGAACTTTGAAATACTTGACTCTTGTCAACTAACAAGACTTTCTTTGCAAAGTTCGCCTTAAAAACACTAATGATTGTGACCATATATCCAATCTTACTATCACATCAACTACTAAGTTATTATCTATTATTGGCAAACCCTCCTTAAAATTCATTTCAAACAAATGTCGGCTTTATTGGATATCTCATTACAACATTTTCTGAAAAAAAATAGGGTATGATGGATACGGGTACAGGATACGGCTTCCTTAAAATTCATTTCAAAATGTCAGCTTTATTGGATGTGTCATTACAACATTTTCTGAAAAAATAAAGTACAGGTACGTCAATTAAAAAAATAATATATATATATATATATATATATATATATATATATATAAACACAAAATTGTACAAAATAAATATAAAAAAATTGTATATAAAATAAAAGTACATAAATTTTAGTATATTTGTGGCTTACCATTATCAAAAGAGATGATCACTTGTCAATATTGTCATTTGTTATTGTTGCTCGTTATTTGTCACTCACCAGTGAAAACTGATGGTTGAAATTTGAGATGAAAGGAGAAAAACAACAGTATGTAGTATGTGGATATGTAGAGGCCGAATGAAGTACTGATGTATGGAAGTTGAAGGAAAGAAATAAAAAATTAAATCATATTTTTGGAAAAAAAAATTCTAAAACTCTAAAATTTTAATTAAAAAAATTTCATTTCTTGTACCCAAACCGTACCCACTTGCTATACCCAACTTTTTTTTTTTGCAAATTATTTTGGATACGTATACGATATGTACCTACAACATACCCACGACGTACCTGGTACTGGTACTTCATAGGAAGTGCCATACCCATGCTTCATAGCCCTCATTAAAATTCATTTCAAACAAATGTCAGCTTTGTTGGATGTGTCATTACACATGCGCTAGACATACTTTGTAAAACAACAAACTTACTCCTAAGATCATTGACATCTATATAAAAAAGGAATTTCTTGGTTTAGGTTTGTCATTAAACTCTTACTCTAGCCAAATTTTCTGGGAGATTCTAATATCCTCCCTTTTTTTGTAATAAGTATGTTGGTTTAAAAGTATTGCTTTTGTATAAGTGATTTATATTTGAATTTGAGCCGTTAATAGAAGCGGTTTAAAAGAGATGGCTAAGATTAAAGGTTAAAAAGGTTAACAAATATGAAAAGAAGTTATACGCAAGACAGATGAAGAAGGGTAATAATGTAAAATTGATATTTTTTATTATGTATAAATTAATCTGTACAACGTAAAATATGCGTAAAACTTTAAAATTTTTTGCATAAACCAATCTGTATAGACTAACACATGAGTGTTTTTAAATTTTTTGCGTAATTTTGAAATTGTATATAATTAAGTTTAATTTATCATCCTTAAAATTTAAATATACAAACATGTGTTTATAAAAATGGAATTGCATATAAATGAAAATGTGGTCTTTCTTCGTTGGAACTCAATATGTGGTCTTTCCTTGTTCTCTTCTGTGGCTTCTTCCGCTATTTCCTCTGAATCGCATGTACTGTCTTATCAATCAAAACTAGGTTTCAATCTGTATAACAAAAAATAGGTTGAGATATGGCTGGAAAAATCTCACTTGAAAGGGAAAGATCTCTAACAAAGTTAAGAAGAAGATGAAATGTAGTTGAAAAAAAGAAAAAATGAAGAAGACATAGAAAGTATTTAAAAAAAAAAAAAAACCACAGCTTTCTACATTGGTTCTTAGAGAGAACTGATATAAAAAGTTATTTTTGTTTATGTAACTATTTCTACATCGATTCCCAACATAAACTTGGATAAGTTGTATGCCAGTTTAATTCTATAACCGATGTAAAAACCTTTATGTACAATTTTAAAAGAATGTAATACACGACATCGGATCTGTCCTATAGGCATTATTAAATGATGAAAGCGTGAATTTGTATGCATTACCATTTTTGATACCTTAGTTCATATCACATTTTATTGCATTGGTACACCATAAATGGCTCCATCTTCGCAGAAGAAAGGTAGAAATGTAGAAACTATTCTATGATTGATGAATACTGTCTTTTTTTTTTTTTTTTTGTAAACTATTGTACCTACATTGCCCAAATATGTTATTTTACGTACCTAGTGAGTCCATGAAACTTTTGAAAACGCAGTGCACCCAGGTAAATAAAAAACGAGATGAGAACAAAGGTTAAATGAGCATCCCACACTCAAAAGATGGCCCATATAGGTCTTCTCCAAAACCCCTCAGTAACTAAGGTAAACAACGTAAGAAAAACACTCATTTTTATATCGATTTCTGAAGAGAGATGAGAAAGATATGTTTTGTTGATGGGAATAAGAAAATATTTATAGCTATAGTAATGTAAACAAGAATACTCACCTGTGTCGTAGGAACATGTACATAGAGAATACGAGAATTTTCACCTTGCTGAAGATAGGAAGGTTTCACAATGACCACAATATTGAAAGGGCAATAACATCATATTACCATACATTTGATGTAAATATGCAACCTAGATATGTATTTTTAATATACACTACTCACCGATGTTAAAATGTTTTTCTTCCAAAACATTAATTTCTACAATGAATTTTAAATCTATCCGATGTTTATAGTGATTAACCCATTAAAATATCTTTACTTTTTACATTGAATCTCCGCAACCTGATGTTATTTTTATCTTAAACATAACTTTACACATAGTTAATATTTGAAATCCCATGTTTTTTATATTGTAAACGCTCCACATCTGTTGTTCTATTATGCAATTGTCATTATAAACTCTCAACATCTGATTTTCAATAAACTCGACATATATATATATATATATATATATATATATATATCAAAATAATATAAGTTAAATATCCACAACTTGATATTGTTGTTCTCTTTAACTTTACTTTATTCCACGAGTTATATCATAGAGTTTTAGACAAACACCAACAAGAAGAGGAAGAAAACACTAAAAAAAAAACATGAAATTACCAATGTATCCTTTCATAAATCTAACTTGAATATCCGATATCCTGTAATTCATTTTTAATCATTCGATTAAAATCAATGGTCCATAGTATTTAATTACTTTTACAAAAGTTTTATTTCCCTTACTTTTTACAAAAGACGGAAGGATATTAGAACCAGCCAAATTTTTCTAATTTGGGTGCTAAAGTGTTTCTTGTAAGAATACTTTTTATTGAGTTGACCAAAATATTATGAGAGACTACCAACAACCTCCACCAGCCTTCAAGAAACCACTAGTTCTAGGAGTTCAGGCCACCTTCAATACTTAGTTACTAACCATGGCACTATTTGTGGGAACGTTAAAGTTATTCCCAAACCTACCATAAAACATAAACCTTACCAACTTGAGAGAATCAAAACACAAGAGAACCTAGTCGATGCACCCAACCATCTTCTGAGTCTATGCCACCAAAATCCTCCCTAAAAGGGGTAGATATGGATTGAATTTGTATAATATCAAATTAAATTCATTTTAAATCTAATAATATGAATTGGATTCTAAATCAATCTATTTTATTTTTTTAAAATCGGTTTAAAATTAATTTTAAAATTTGAATTTAGTTTAAAATTAGTTTTAAATCCAGTAAAATATACTATAAATATTTTTTATACTATTATTAAATTATTATATTAAAAATAAATTTTATAAGAATTAATATAAAATTATATCTACATATATTTTAATAAATTAATAATATAATTCTTTTACATTTATATTCTATTAAAATTAAATTCATATTTTTTACTTTACACTATTTATCTACCACACAAACTAATTATACAAATTGAACTTTAAATTAATTTTTTTAAAAGAGTATAAAATTGGTTTTAAATTTTAGATTTGGTTTAAAAATGATTTAAAATATGGTTTTAGTTGAAACAAGTTTAAATCTAATGCTAAGTCAAATTAGTTTAAATATACTTTTAAATTTTAATTTTTAAGAAAAAAATAATTTTCTTAAAATTTTAATTTAAATATAGTTAACAAAATAAATACTCCCTTTAATTTTTTTATAAAAAACAAAAAACTAAATTATGAGAATTAAGAAAAGTAATTAAGTATATTATATTTTTCATAAATATAAATTTTATTATAAAAATACCTATGATATTAAATGATATAATTAATAATTTGTATATTTAATGATACTAATAAAAAAAAAGTATAAAAAAAAATTAACAATTAATATCATTTGAATCTATCAATAGTAAATCAATTACATTTGTAACGTGAATAATACACAATTATATTAATTTAAACAATACAAAGCAAAATTTATTCTTATAAAGACTAATTCAACAAACACTAAAAAACAGAGAATTTATGAAACAACGGATTAAAATGTGAAACTTATTGCGAGTCCGTGACTAGTGTGCTTTTGGCATTGAACATCACCTGACTTTAGCATATTCTCCGTTTCACAATCTACAGAAACACATGCGTGAAACCACACTTCACTCTCAAAAACTGATTTTTAATAAATTAAATCTGATTTTATTAAATAGATCCAAAACCTATCCATTTAATAAATTAAATATGTTAAACTAAAATAATTTGATGAAAGGTTAAATAATTTTAAATTTTATAAAATTTTGTATACTTAGTTTACATGTTAAAAACTCTTAAATTTTATAAAAATTAATAAAATTTGATATCTATAAAAAAATATTAAATAAAATAAACTATACAAATAATTTTACTCGAAATAGAAATTTTTTTAATTAAAAAATAAATTATAAAAGTAAATTAATATGAAATTTAAAACTAAATTATAAAATTAAATTAATATTAAATTAAACAATAAATGTTTAACGTAAAAAAATCTATTTGATATAAAGAAAAAGAGATATATTTCTTAAAAATATTTTAATTTTAAAAAATTAGTATTAATACATTAAACAAAGTGGTTGATATTTATTATTGTCAATTGAATACCTTTTTCTTCTTACACGTGTTAATTGTAGATGGAAATCTTCCAATTCCTCCTCCTATATCACAAATGGAGGCAAGTCTTTTATTTTTTTTGCTTGAAAATTTATTATTTTGCCATAAAAAATTGAGCAAAATACTTTTAAAAAGATTCGTAAAGTAGTTTGGTCTCAATTGAAAATTAGTACACGCTTTAGTTAATTCTTTTACACTCACAATAACAACGTGAGAAAAGGAATCTTTATGCACACCTAATGTGAACTCCATATTTTCCTTTTAATTAAATCAAGTCAACTGTCTTTTATGGTCTTCTTGTTTCTAGAAATTTCGACATGACATGAGTGGTTATTTTTCTTTTTTGGGGTATGGATAACCTCAGTGGCTTTTAATGATGTTCAAATTAGTCATAGTCAACTTTGATTCCTATTTTTCGTCGGTGTTAGAGGCACTAGCTAGATTCTTAATTTGACGATTTCTAGTGCCTCATGCATGACGATAAAACAACCAAGTCCATAGACGGTGTTGCTCTATTAATTAACCAGTCATGCAAGTTATTGGGTCAACTCAACCCACGCTTTGAACTCCATAGTCACATACATTATATTTATCGATCTCTTCCCGTTTCATACCTTATAGCATTATCAAATTCCTTGCATCGATGCTTTGCACTTCTTCATCTATATTCTCACTTAGATACTTACACAATTGAATAAGTTTATGTTTTATATATACAGACTTTGATTACAAGATGGACAAGATGAGTCAATATGTGCATGTGTTCAATCACTTCGATGAAAATGGAGATGGCAAGATATCAGCGGTGGAGCTACGGCAGTGTGTGGAGGCGATTGGCGGGGAGTTGTCGGAGGAGGAGGCGGAGGCTGCGGTGGAGCTTCTGGACGGAGATGGGGACGGGTTGCTGGGGTTGGATGATTTTGTGAGATTTGTGGAAGAAGGGAAAGAGGAAGAAAAAGTGAGAGACTTGAGAGAGGCTTTTAAGATGTATGAAATGGAGGGATGTGGTTGCATCACCCCAAAGAGTCTCAAGAGAATGCTTGGAAGATTGGGTGAGTTTAAGAGTGTTGATGAGTGTAAAGCTATTATTGCTAGGTTTGACCTTGATGGTGATGGGGTGCTCAGTTTTGATGAATTTAGGGTCATGATGTTGTAACATTTCCTTAATCTTACATTGCTTCTTTACTAGCTAGCTATCAAGTCCTACTTAGGTATGGTCATGTATTAGTGAGCTAGGCGTCATATATATATATATATATATATGCAGAAGGGTTACCTTTGGCCAGTTTTTAACGAAAGAGATGTAGTTATTTATTTATTTATTAAAGAATAAAAAATTGACTAATTTAAATAATTTTTAAATGAGTTTAATTTTGATGTAAATTTTTTTATATCATATCAATCAACTAATTTTTTTATATTATATATTAATTATTACAAAAATCAACTATTTTGACTGATATGATAATCTTTGATTGAATGGTAGTGTAAAAGAATTATATTATATTTAATTTAAACCATTTTTAAATTATATTATTTATCAATTATCATATCTTTTTTATAAAATATTCAAAATTTGCAAGGATTATTAGTAAAATAATTTAATTAAAATATGTTAATAGAGTAAATAATTTTTACATTATTATCTAATCATGAATTATTATATCAAAAAGAATAATTTATTTTTACAATTATTAATATAAGTATTTTTTTTTAACTTATGCGATGTTGAAAAGGATAATTTCTTTTTATATATTGTAGGGTCTTTTTAAAAATTAAAAAATTTAATAATATTTAATATATTGATAGTATTAAATGTTACAATTTTTTATAAAAATTTATTATCTTATGCAATATTGTATATATTAGAAAAAATTTTAATATAAAAATTATTACTACAGTGTGTTCTAATTGGTTGATAATTTAAAAATAAATTACATTGACAATACACTAAAATTAAACTCAAATTTAATTATAATTTATTTAAATTAATAATTTAATTATTAATCATAAATATTCTACTATGTTAAATAAGATTGAACTAAAGAGATCAAATTTTTAAAATTATAAGAATTTAAAATATAATATTTAAATTCAATTGAAAGGAATGAGAAAAGAGGTAACACGTTACAAATACAATATCCTCGTTTAAGATAAATTTTAAAAATATTCCAGTTTAAAAATTAGGACTCACAAATCCCTGATAAAAATATTTATGACTTTGTTGATGCGTTTGTTTTTGTTAAATAACTTATACCACAAGACTTGCTAATTTTTCAAGTTTTTAAATTCAACTTTTAAGATGGCTCCTACTTATCATTATTGTTTCTCACCTAATCTTTCAAATTTGAAAATTCAAATTTTTCCAAGATTCATAGTATGGTTTATAGTATAAGTTTAATTTCCGGACACTATTAAGGTAAAATTTTACATTATTAATTAATTAGAATATATCATAGATATTAATTATATATTAATTTTCAAAAAATTAAATATTTTAATAATATGATAATTCATTATTGAGTGGAAGTGTAAAAATTTTAAATACTTCTTTTTATTATTTCTCATCCAACCTTTCTAATTTAAAATTAGTTTTTAAATTGGATGTGTATTAATATCTTGAATCCCTCTTTAATCCTTATTTCTCTTTTTTTTTTTTCATATTGCTGATGTATATTTTTTAGTTATTGCTTATGTATTAGTTTTTAGATTGTTGCTGGACTTGGTGTTATACAATAGAATAATATTCTAATTATTCAAATGTTTGTATAGAAAATAGTAAAAATAGGGGAAAAAAAAACAGCATGTTCACTATTTTTTAACATAATTTTGAAAAACTAAAAAATAATGAAATTAAAATGACATTTTTGTAAAGAAAATTAAAAACATAAAACATTTTGTTAAATTGAGGTATAGTATTCTTTCAAATTTTATATAGACAAACTTGAATGAATAAAAGTAAAAAATTATTATAAATAAAAAAAATTTGTTTTATATTTACTTATCACAACATGTAATTTTTTGAGTGTATTTGTAACTTAGAGAATTGTGTATTAAGAAAAGATTTTTATTTTTGTTCATTTAAAAATTGTAAAAGCATGTTTGTAATTGTTTATTTAAAGATATTTATCCAAAAATTATAAATAATAAAATTTATATTTTTATTTTATAAAAAAATAATAATAAAATAATGTTAAAAATTTACAAATATAAATAAGATGTGTCAAATCATAAAGTTACATATTTTTTTTATTTCATTTTTTCATACGAGTATTAAATAAACCAATGTAAATGGCTCTACTCTTTTTACTCATTATGTGTTGAGATGCCTTGAATTTATGCATAGCTTAATTTTTCTGGTGCCTCTTGAATTTGAGTTGTTATTATTTTAATGAGTTGTAATAAAGAGTTATGAGTCATTGTAGGGGTAAACTCCCTATTTATGTTCTTGAAATATATAATATGACTAAAGTTAGTCTTTAAAATTGTTGTAAATTTAAAATTTTATTCTTTAAAATTAATAAATGTTGATCATTTTGTGGCTAAAATTAGTCTTCAAAATTATAAATTTAAAATTTTAGTCTCTAAAATTAACAAATATTGATCAATTTAGTCTTTATCGTTTGAAAACGTTAAAGACAAATAACAGTGTGTTGATGTGTCACATTAAGTGATAAATAGACATTCATATAAATCCAAATGATGTCATTTTTGTGCCTTGGTGTAAAGTTCAATTTTTCATTCTATTGCATTCATGATTTCACTAAGCCTTAGCTTCTTAGGTAAGGAACAAAAAGTGGTGTTCCATTATATTCCAAAAGAACTACTTCATTGCGATTGTGGAATTGTGACAATTCTTCATGAATAGCTTGGATTCTCCATTGAAAGGCGCTTTGAAAGTATTACCTAAAATCTTCTAACGAAATATGACAAAGCCAATAAAATAATGAGGTATTATCATTTCTTCGTTATAGATTGATATCTTCTTTGAACTTAATGCACAAATAGATAGAATAACCACACAAAGCATCTTTCTAGCTTGCATATTTTCCTTGATCAATCACTTTCAAACTATTACTTCTTGCTCTTCCACGATATAAACTCAAATGACAATGAAATATTTATTTCCAGTGATGGATTCCTTATCGAGCTCATCTCTTGCCCAATCTGCATCAAAGTCTGAAAGATGTGAAAAGAAGACCTTTTCTTGGTGAATCCTTAAGATATTTGAGGATTGTATATGCAACATTTAGAAGTATTGTTCTTAGTTTATGCATGAATTGACTCATGACTACAAGAACATAGGCAATGTAAGCTTAGTCATCTTTGTATTGGTAGGAGAAGGTAAAGCATGAGTTTGTAAGGGAATGGTAATGATATTAGGTTCCCGTCTTGGATGTCATGTTTCAACATTAAACATTAGTAAGTATTTTGGTCATTTGTCTAAAGGTCCATAAACCTGAGCTTACCTCTTCTAGTTGAAGTTCTAATGAACTAGGTATTCCCTCAAGAGCTAAATCCACTGTTGGGCCAAAGGAAGAGTCTGTAGCAAAATCAATTGAATAGATAAAGAAGTCTAATAAGCATATTGATTCAAGTAAGTCTAACTAGTTTAGGCCCTACCCTATAGGCTTTTGATGACAAGCTAAGTTAATACCTATGAAGTTGTGAATAAGGAAGAAATTCAATGTTTTACACAAACACACAAAAATGACATTGTTTGGATCCATATAGCACTACGCCAGAAATAAGCTTTTGAAACACTAACTTAGATAGCGGTTAATAAAAACCGCCTTGTAATTATATATTTAGAGAGCGGTTCTCTATTAACCACTCTCAGATCTATACTTCTGAGAGCGGTTAACAGAGAACCGCTCTCAGATCTATATTTCTGAAAGCGGTTCTTTGTTAACCGTTCTCAGAACTATACTTCTGAGAACGGTTCTCTATTAACCTCTCTCTAATCTCATTCTTGAAGAGTGTTTAATAAAGAATCGCTTTCTAATGTTATTAAAGTCATTTATAAATGAACACGCTCATCGCATTTCTTCTTCATAGCTAACAAAGTTAGTCTCTTTTACCGTAAGTTTCTTCTCTACTCTCTTATGTTTTCTTCATCTTCTCTGTTAGTCTACTCTCTTCGTCTTCTCTTGCTAATAAATTAGTTTTTTTTCATATGTAAGTACCTTTTCATTCTGTGTTAGTATGCTCTCTTCATCTTCTTTACGCTAACAAATTAGTTTTTTTCCACATCTGTATGTATTTCTTTATTTTCTCTTTCTTTCTTCTTCTCTTTGTTAACGGTGAATCATCCATTCTCTCTTTCTTTCTTTTTCTCTATATTAATGTTAAAAATTATCCTATTAATTTGTTCTCTTTTTTCTTTACTAACTTGTGTTTCGTTCATGCAGATGTGGACTGCTTGGTTAACACTAAATATATAAACTCAAGATTCAATTTTAATTTGTGATAAAAATGAAAAAAACTCACAAAGAAATTAATTCTAAATTTTGATTTAAATGTAATAATAAATTTTTATTTTGCAACAGAAAACTTATAAAGAAATCAATTTCAAATTTCACAGTTTAAATTTATACTTTGGAGAGCGATTACACGCAGAACCGCTCTCAAATGTTACACCTATACTTTGGAGAGCGGTTCCGCCTGGAATCGCTCTCTAATCTTAACATCTGATAGCAGTTCTTTAACATGTTACTTAATATGACAAATCAATACTATGTTATTTATTTTTAGCATTTTCTAACAATAAGGACTAAAGTAATTTGTGTTTGTTAATTTCAGAGACTAAACTTTTAAATTTACAATTTTTAGGACTTATTTGACTGACCATATATATTTTAGGGACTAAAGTGAAAATTTACTCGTTATAATAGTGAGATATCCGTTATTATGCATATAAACTTTAAAAGTTGAATATGTATATTTCTCTAATGCAGCAAAAGGTAGTAATGTATATGCAAATTACAATAAATAAAAATATCTCAATTTGCTTGTGGGCATAGGTTAAATTAATTAAATCATATTATTTCTTGTGTCTTCTTCTTTTTTTTCTTTTCCTATTACTCCTTTTCATTTCTATCATAACAAGTGATATTAGAACTTAAGGTTTGTCTAGGTGATCATCTCAATATAGGT